AAACGACGCAAGCAAGTGGGCGATGGCGAGCAGCTCCATGACTCCGGTCTTCAGCTTGTAAGAAGTAGCAATGCTCAGCGATGAAGCTCTGGCGAGGACAAGATGAGTTCCTACAACAAAACACAAGACATAAACAGCATACGGCAAGGGATACACACAGCGTAGAGATCGCAGTAGGGGGGTGGTTAAATCCTTCACATACAATTGGACATGAGCTGGGCATGGGTAGAAAGGAGGAGCAGGATAGAAAAGAAAGGAAGGCCCCAATTCGAACAAGCGGCTCCTGAATGCCGTCGCCTGGAGAGAAGTTAGTGGAATACGTTCTAAAGTACTTTTCACCAGCCACCACTTACACCGGATCTTCAGAGAACTTAAACAACTCCCAGGACGAATCGAAAGGGACTGGAACATGCATGGGGCAAGCCCACATTCCATGAAGAGAACAGATCAGCAAGGGAGAGAACAAGTCGTCAATCAAACACATTCGATGGGTAACCCAATTCCATAAAAACTATCCTCACACAGGGGAACATACCATGAGGCGTGGGAGGGGGGCAGGGGTGGGTGTTGGGCACTTTTAGAGAGAGTCAAAGATTACCGCACCGGATGCCATGGCCTTCCCCACGTATCAAACTGCCAATCTTCCCGTAGTAGTCACGATGTCGCGACGTAACCCACTCGCACCACGGAATCGCAAAAGAGAGGCACCCCGTACACGCCGACAGCAAGCACTCCTAGCAATGATGACGACCCCCCAACAAAGCTTACAAACAGCTCGCGGTAAGTCACTGTTGTGGCCCAGGTGTCTGCCAGTGTAAGCACGAGCGGGCGAGCAGTGCGCAACGCAGGTCGGCGAACGCAGGGAGCAGTGAGGGGGAGCGTGGCCAGAATGCCCTGAATGCGACGCGCAGCTTGGCAGCAATTGTGCGATAAGGCAAAATTCAGGACGATCAACTCGCAGTGCGGGTCCCCAACATCCCAAGGGAGGGCGCGTCCATCTTCAAAGGAGAACAGCGCGTCACCCCGCGGGTGCTAGTAGACACACGCTGGAGAGAGGGATGTCATGATTAAACTAGCATGTTTAAATACGGTAGAGTTTCCCGCTTCACAAGGAATCCTCACAAGCGGGCCGGTATTCCCGCCAACCCCAGGGGCTGGTACAGTGGTATAGAGCCACGATTTTTCGAGCCAGGCGCCAGCATAGCCAATGGGGTACCAGGATGTGCGTCCGGGCGGGAAAAAACCATCCGCCGTCAACCAAGGACTAAAACCTACAACCTGGGTTCGGGTATAGCAGCGGGTAGGCCAGGGCTAGATAAGTGCGAAGGAAAAAACAAGGGAAGAAAAACACAAAGTGGGGGTTAGGGGTGGTCTATTTTCAACCTCTAGAGATACAAGAATGTCAATACTCAAGGCCCAAATCTGCACCCATGCACCGCACCCCCGAGTTTGCGTGCGTGTGTGCGTGTGTGTGTGTGTGTGTGTGTGTGTGTGTGTGTGTGTGTTTTGCCATAGTATAATCTCTATGGCAATTACTGCACGAAAGCAGGTGCAACTCAGGCCTGAGGCTGCAGCCCTCTCCACGGGACCAGGCCCGAATCAAAAGCTCTAATCGCGTATAGTACTAAGCGGCTTTTTATTCTAATCGCGTTTAGTACTAAGCGGCGTAAGCGCTCAACTTAGGCTCAGGTCAACTGGTGGCTTTAATGGAAAAAGTCTTATCTTCAGTCTGTTTCAGTCTGTCGAAGACCGGCGAGAAAGCACGGTGGAAACGTAGCAACGGCGTTTGGCTCCAAAAAAACCTTCGTGGAAGCTCATGTTCTTCCCCTTTCCTCAATACCATACAATCTGAGGCGCATAGAACAGTTATTTGCCAACGAAAAACGATTGGGATCCAAAACCAAAAAGAAAATCCTGAGTGGTACACTCGTGAACATCGGATAGGCAGGCCGGAGTTGAAAACTTGAAATTCTGATTCAAAAGTCTGATGGAAAAAAAATCAGCCACATGTAGTACCTCTGAAATTCCGAAGTAAGTGAGGAAGGTCAGTCTGATCTGATCCGTGGGATCCCTTTTTCGCCGCTTTCTTTATCTAATGCAAGATAGCCCATGGGACTGAATGGCTGTCATAGATCCTGTACCGCTTGATAGTCCGTCCATGGGGGCAGATTGATGGATTTTAGAGTCTTCAATTCTGAGCTGACTTCTGGTTGAACAAGCTAACATATTTTTCCCTCGCTGAGTGGGTACATGGACACACACACACACACACACACACACACACACACACAC